AGCCCTGAACCTAATCCACTCGGCCATGTCGAAGGCCACCCCCGCCCTCTTGCTATCTACGGATGCGGAGAAGGCCTTCGACAGGGTCGATTGGTCTTTCATGAAACACACCCTAGAACATGTGGGCCTAGGACCGCATATGCTTTCGTGGGTGATGTCCCTTTACTCCACGCCAACAGCCAGGGTCCAATTGAATGGGTCACTATTGCAGGTTTTTTCCATCTCTAACGGTACCCGGCAGGGATGCCCACTATCCCCGCTAATCTTTGTACTCACCCTAGAACCCTTGCTTCACTCGATCAGGGCCAACCCTGATATAGGAGGCCTAGTAGCCGGGGGCCGAACCCATAAAGTGGCCGCTTACGCAGATGATCTGCTCTTTTTCCTGACCTACCCAGAGGTGTCCATCCCAAACTTAATTAGAGAATTCTCCAAATACAGGGATCTTTCAAACTTCCATATTAACGCCCAGAAATCAGAGGCCCTGAACCTCACCCTGCCTAGCCATAGGGCGCAAAGACTGCAGCGCAACTTTACATTTGCATGGTCTACTTCCTCCCTGAAATACCTAGGAGTCCAGCTTCCGCGGAAACTGGATGATACCTACTCTCTCAATTTTGTACCACTGTTGTAGAAGATCAAAGAGGATATATCGGGATGGTCTCGTTTGGCCTTTTCTTGGACAGGCAGAGTTAATGTCATCAAACAAAATGTACTCCCGAGACTGTTATATCCGATCCAGGCGTTGCCCGTCTCAATTCCAAAGGGGTTCTTCGTGTCAGTTCAGTCCCTGATCACGAGATTTGTGTGGGGGGTCGAAGTCTGTTAGGATCCGCCATTCTATTCTCCGACGTCCCAAACGGTCGGGGGGGCTGGCCCTACCCGACCTTAACTTCTACCATATGGCGGCCCATCTAACGCGGATTTTGGACTGGTGCCGCCACGAGAAGCTGAAACCTTGGGTTTCCTTGGAGCAGTCTTTTTCGCAGCTACCCCTCAAAACGCTCCCGTGGTGCCCTAGGATCTCGCAGGTGCTACGTTCACACCCCACATTGGGTCCAACTTGGAAGATCGCCAAGAAGATCTTTGACTCTAGACTGATCTCCCCCTCCCCATCCCCGCTTCTCCCGGTGATTGGGAACCCCGAGTTTTCCCCTGGGCTACAGGACCCAAGGTTTGTACAACTGGGTCTTAAGGAAAAGTTTAGGGAACTTCATTTCATTCAGGGACCGGGCTGGCCGACATGTTCTGACATGGACAGGGACCCCATCTTGGCTCCGCTGGTTTTCTGGCGCCATTTTCAACTTACCCACTTCTTCGCCTCTCTCCCGCGCCCCGGATTGATGACACACGCTCTCACAGCTTTCGAGCAGGAATGCACCTCCCAAGGACACCTACCTAGAGCCCTCTCACTATGCTATCAGTTACTCCTAGCACCGGACTGTAATCTCCCTTTGCCGTTTATGGCAGCATGGGAGAGAGATCTGGGACTTACCTTCTCTCCTGAAGACACCTCGAGAATCTTACAACTATCCTTGAAGTCCTCTATCAGTAATCGCTATCAGGAATCAGGGTATAAAATACTTACTCGATGGTACCGTACGCCCAGTAGGCTGCACAAAATATTCCCTGACTCCAGTGATTGCTGTTGGAGATGCGGTTCCTCCCCTGCGGGCATGTTCCAAATTTTTTGGGCCTGTCCATCACTCCAGGAGTTTTGGTCCAAGGTCCACGCCATTACTCAGAAGTTCTCGATCGCCAACGTCCCCAAGGTCCCTTCATTTTTTTTACTTCACCTGGCCGCCGGCTCGGGGCGGAGCTACAAACGGTCCTTGGTGGTCCACCTCATCAATGCGGCCAGAGCTTGTATCCCGGCCTTGTGGAAACAGGTCTCTCCTCCCACTATTAAGCTATGGCTCGGCAAGATCAATGACATCAGGCAGATGGAGGACCTCACCAGCTCCCTAAAGGGAACGGGGACTCGATTTCGCTACACATGGTTTGAGTGGGACGAGTTCTCGTCCTCCCTGGAATATTTGAGCCTCATCCCTTCTCCTTCCGACTCTACCTGGTCTTTCGTATTCGCCCTAGACCTATCCCGTCCTTTCCCTCCCTAGAATTCTCCCTTCTGTTTTCCCCTGTAAACCTTGGGAAACTGGTGAATGGCACAGATGGCCACACCGGTTTCCTCAATTGACTCCAGATATGTGCTTCTACGCTTTCAAACCACAATGATACCTCTTTGCTTATATGGCACAGCGACAGGGAGACCCACCGATGACGGATTACCATGCTTTCTTATAGATGCTGAATAGCGCAATGTTGATTTATGTCTAGACCCCCTTGGGGGCGGTGGCCCTGGCGGATGCCATTCTGTGGATTGTTTGCTACGATTTATCCCTATACTTTTATGCTTCTGATTGTATCTTATATGTGCTGTTTTGAAAATAAAGAATTTATAAAAAAAAGAAAACAACCACCGTCTGCAAACATCTTCATGACACAAAGTTACATTAAAGGGTGAGCTACCTCCATATTAGTAACCAAAAGGTCTAAACAGAGTGAGATCAAGATAAAAATGCAGTAGCACTGGAAATGCCAATACTTTTAAATTAAATCAGCAAAAATAAAAGAGGAGAAATAGAGATTAAGGATAGAAGCAAGCACGGAATAGGTAAGCATGGAAGGGGCCAGATGGCCAGTAGAAGAGGGGAGCAGCGAAGAAGAAAAGATGGAAGGAAAGAAAACCCCAGGCAGAATAACACATAGAGGGTCATATTTGAGAAATAGGAAATGAGAATGAAAGAAAGGGACAAGGGCAAAGGAAACGCCCCATGGCATCTAAATAACAAAGCCACATAACAGAACAAACCAGTGTGGATATCGACCAAACCGGCAGGTTCAGTATATCCAGGATGGGTCTCAGGGTGGAGATGAGGAATCGGGAGACATCATCTGAAGGCAAGAATCTGTGTACTTGAAGTAAAGCCAAGGCTTCCATGTGGATCTCCTCAGTATTATGAATCATGGAAGTCAGGTCTTCTATTTGATACAGCTTTTTTCATTTTCAAGAACCAGAGCCATACAAATGGAGCCTGAGGTTGTTGCCAGAGGTGCAGAATGCCCTTGCTGCACTGAGCAGGTGTATAGACAGGGAAGCTTATACTTAGACATGGGATTATGTATCATATGTAGAAGGTATGTGGCAGAGTTGTGGCCCACATCTATCATTACAAGTTGGTGAACAATATCAAATTGAGGAAGCGTCTGAGCTGGCATGAACTCCAGCAGTCTAAAGGTGGATGCACTCTAAACGTGCCTTCTGAGACAACCATTGTTTATCAGAATAAACGTCCATTAGTCTAAATGTAATGGCATCAAGTAGACATCAAAGCTGTCTGTTTTCCCGGTCAGGGGGAAAATCAGGATCACCTTTTATCGAGGTAAGAGGAGAAGGGAATGGAGGCAGATCGAAATACTCCCCTCCCAACCTCTAGAACAGAACCAATCGTGGAGTCAGACATGGTCTTTGAGGGCAGGGGAGAGGTAGGTCAGGGACGTCCTCAAACAGGGCTTGCAGATTCCTCTATAAACTTTGTGTAAGTGGTTGCAACACCAGTTAGTCACCCTAGCAAGATGTGAGGCCTTGTAGTAAAAATTTATTTCTGGCAGAACTATTGCTCCACTAAGCTTGGGTGAGGTCAAAATCTGCTGACATATTATGGTAAAATTGTGAGCCCAAATGAAGAAGGTGAATAGCTACTGGAATTGGCTGAAAAATTGATGTGGCAGTCAGATCGGAAGGGCTTGCAACAGGAAGAGTATCTTGGATAGTACCATACTTTTTATCAAATTACACTGACCAAACCATGTGATGGATAGTATGTGCCATGACTTATAGTCCTGTTGCATATTTTCCAGTAGAGGGACCTGCAGTAATGTTAGTGCCCAAATATCTTATATGGTGTTCTGCCCTCTGGAAACATTTAAGGCTGCTGACTTAGATGAGTTCATTTTAAAGTTTAATAAGGTGCCATTTGCATGACAAGTTTGCAACAAAGCAGGAAGTGAGGTGAAAGGATGGAAAATTAAGAAAATCAGGTCAGCAGCAGGGTCAGTGACCCAGGTGTTCCTTCAATAGCTTGGTTAGTTCAAAGCATCCAATTAATGTTGTCATCGTGGATCTAAAACTGCACAACATTTCAGGGGAATAAGCCTCATCAAGTACTTAATGCTATGATCAACTCATTACCCTTATAAATTCCCCTCACACCTGCATCAAGCGGTGGGCATACACTTCAATCCAATCAATTTAAGGTAACTAGATGGAAGAGCAAAAACCATACACACCTGCTGCAGTGAGCATAAGATGGCATAATATAAAGAGGAACTCCAAGCATACTCACAGTCATCTTTCCTCCATAGATGTGTTATATCTGGCAGCAATATAAAAGCTGCTGTTTAATAAATTATAGCGGTATTCATGTCTCTATAAATAATAGGTAATATTTCAAAGTAGAATAACTTTAAGGTTTGTCTTTAATAATTATAAATTGAGCCACAGAGGTTCATTTATTATAAAATGCATTTAGAAGGAGAATTTCTTATGCTAATCCAACAGGTTTACATTTACCTTATTTAAATATCTAGTACATCTCTCTTATTTAAATCTCTAGTACATCTCATACCTCAGTAACAGTGTGGTTGTATTAACCCCTTTTTTATATATATTCACACATTTAATAAAGTATATAGCATTACTGCTCACGCATGTACAGGCTTCCCAAAAGAGGATATCTAAACCTTGTGTTGGGTGGTTTACTTTATTTTTGTGAAAAACACTTGAACAATTTTGCCAATTATTTTGCAGGGGTACATTACCATTACATAGCAAAGCCCAAAAATTGGTTTACTTATTCTCATACCAGTCACCCTGCACAAGGAGAAAGAGTAGCAGTGAACTGTCCTAATACAGGAAGCTCTTACACAAAAGCAAAGTTTCACTCTGAATTACTGCACATATCTGGAAGAAATACATAAAGTACACCAAGGCTCAAGTAAGAATACTCTTGCCTCTTGTATTTAGACAATATTTGCTTATTCTGGAGTTCAGTTTCAAGGTTAATGCTGCAATACTTACAAAAATATGTGCTCAATAAAAATGCACTATATTTTACTTTTAAGGGGAGGGTCCAATGTCCTGCCAAATGTATGCAATTTGGGGAATACTGGAGTTCATTCAAGATGAGCAGAACCAGTTATTAACACTGTGACCTTAACTGCTAAATTCAAAAATGAATACAAAAACTATAGAACATTAAACTGGAGCTTTTGCCTAAAGCAAATGATCAAACTAGATATATTTTATAGCCAGCAAAAGAAAAATGACAGCCTAAATGTGATTGGTTTATTATACTAACAGACCAGTTATCTTTTATAAAATGTTTTTCAGAAAAAGTCCTGTGTGATGCTTGACCATACCAACAATTATTTTGATACCTCATCTCCAGCCAAAGTATAATGTTGCTCAAGACAGCTACAATAAAATATGCTCCCTGGTATCACCATATTACCATTTCCATCTTACCTGATACATGTCCCTTTAATTCTGGGTAACATGAAAGAAAGAGGATCTCAGAACTTGATTTTTCTACTTCCTCTTCAAGCCACAGGAAGAGTTTGATGAATCTGGACAATAATTTCAGCTGATTTAGCTGTAAAGTTGTGCCTCCAGATTTTCTCTGATTGTCTTCTATGGTAACAGCTAATAAAAAAAAGGAAGAAAATGCAGACAAAATTATAATATAAATCATAATTAAAGCACCTCCTGTATTCTTTGTCCTGTAATATAATTGAAAAATTCAAGTAATCCAACTAGGAGAGTGGGAGAGAGGCAGACACAAGGAGCAGGTGGGTGACTCAACCCCTATTTTGTGTTATTAATACCGAATTTTATATAAATTCACAAATCATCAGACTGCAATCCAGTGTAACAAAATATGTAAGTTCACTTAACCCCTTCCCAAGCGGTGATGTGATAATCCCATGATGCAGTACAATGAGCGCTGGTCCATTCACGGACCAGCACTCAATGAGTTACTGCTGTTGCTGTGTCCCTCGGGGTCCGAGGCAGATCCTCAACAGCATGATCAGAGAGCTGCGACAGGCACGAAGGCAGCAGCAACTCACTGTGTACAAACTGATACAAAGTATATCTAAGGAGAATACTATATTCTCCTCAGAGATACTAAGTATCAAAGCCCCTGTAAATAAAAAAATAACCCCTTAGTGCCCCCTAGTTAAAATAACCCCTAGTGACCCCTGGAGCCACAGGGCAAACAAGGGAGAAATAGGTTTACTAGATGCTCTTGGTGCACTTAAAGTCATAGGGGTGCACTAAGATAAATATAATAAACTGGGGTTGCTCTGGATGTAATGGAGTCAAGGGATCACGAGAGTCAACAACGGACAATGGATGCTCTGGGGCACACTGAGGACACAAGATGATACAGGATTCTCTGGAAGAACCCTAAGACATGGGTCACGCGGGGTGGCAAGAGCACCAGAGACTGGTGGGAGACACATCCTAACCGGTAAGTACTGCAACTGGGGGCTCAGCTGAATTAAAGCATTTGTGATGCAAAGTGACACATGGCTCAATGTTTAAGAAATTTAAAGGCAGTATCAATCAGAAGATCTGTCTTTGGATTGGTAGAGGAACTGGCACTCTGGGTGAAACCCATATGTTCTGGCGAACATTTGCCTGGCAGACAGGAGACCCCGTGCTAGATCCTCATATAGTGTGAAAGGTATAAGGCATAGTTTCTGTCTAGTCAGATAAATTAAGTAAGATGTATACTCTCTAAAGCTAATCATCTCTAGGATATGGTTTCTTTTTTCTATTAATGTTGCAGATCTTTTTACTTTGCATATGCATAGCACCATCTAGTGGTAAAGGGAGAAGGTACAAATACATAAGGAAATGAGGGATGCCAGAGTTATTTGATATGGCATGCTTTAGAATTGCAGTGATATGCATAGAAAGAGAGGAAGCATTACAGGCATAAGGCATGCTTTAAATTTTCTGCATTTCAGAGACTGAGCCATGTGGACCCCATACAGGGTTATTTCAGTAAAATTGCTGTGGGATTTTGTATAGGCCATAGTTTAAAATGTAAGCACTAATAACCTGGAGCTCTTCAACTTTTGTCATAAGGTGTAAAACACCTACTGAAATACACTGAGTTGACCACCCCATCAGTACTTTGTTGGGCCACGAGATGACTCCACGAGATGACTTCGTTGGGCCGCCTCGTGACTCCACGAGATGTTGAAAGGTGATGCGAGGAATCTGACACTGCACTGTTGCCCTTCTGTTGTCTTGTACCAGTCTTGCAACTCTCCGTTCTGCCCTAACATTAACTAGTTGCTGACGGCCACAATTCGCACGTTCAGACCCAGATTTTCGGCTGACAGTCCAGTCTTTAAACACTTTAACAACAGCTGCTCTTGAACATTTAACAAATTCTGCTGTTTTGCTAATACTTGCTCCACGGCTCCGAGCGCCAAAAATCATCCCACGTTCAAAGGCTGTTAAATCACGTTGTTTACCCATATCTTCAGAAAAAAATCACTTCTACTGTCGTGGTAAACAACCTGCTTCCCCATTTATAATGGTCTGGCCCTCTAGCAACTTCAGCGCGAAATCTTAGCTAATTATAGCTAATTTCCCTACAAACGTCAGGTGGTCATAATAATCTGGCCACTCAATGTATATTACTACAACCAAATAAGGAATGGTACATGTTTGTGCCACATATGTAAAGCTTAATTATATCACCATCTGGGAAGAATTTGCTTTATAAATTAAGTTTTATTTAGGAAGAAAAAAAAAACCCAATGTGGCTGACAAGACAAGTTCCAGCATCAGATGGGTCATGTACAGGTACTGTATTTTTGATGGAAAACACAGGCATAATCAAAAGGCTTCTGTGTGCCTTAAGGAATCCAATTTAAGATTAAATTCTCTGAGTACATTTGTAGACACTACTTCATCTTGCAGCAAATTCCAAAGTCTGATTACTTTTTTGGAAGAGGAAAGAATTTCTTGTTAGAAAGTTGAACCTTTGCTTGACCCACAATACGTTAGTTATCTTCTTTTCCTTAGATTTCAGTTCTGCACTAACAAGACCTCATTTGTTTCCCTGTATTTGCAATTTATATATTTTTTCCTCTAAAAACATATACTATCTTAGCATCCGTTTCTTAACTCAAACTGGTTACGTGGGTTAAAAACAATTCCAGGGTCGTCTGTTCCGTGGACCTTTACAATTATAATGATTTGTACATGGCTGTGTTTTGTATAATTTGTAGTGAAGGTATTGTGATCGGTAATACAACAAAATACATTTACACGATACTGGCATCTTCGGTTTACTGCAATGGTCACAGCAACAACTAGAACATTGCAAGAAATTATTGTAAGGTTGAAAAGGGCAAAAAGAAAACTCTTCTACTGGAATTTCATCTACCTTTTTTTTTCATCTTCAGCACAAGCTGACATACACTATGGCTTTCCACTTATTGTTGAAGTAACCATCACATTCTGCCATACCAAAATGTGCCAAAATGAACAATGTGCCTAAGTGAAAACAGTTACCAGTTGCCCTGAAGAAACCAACCAGCTTCAAATTTTTATATTAATCAGAACACATTTTAAATGTGTAAAAATTAAGGTGTATGTGAACCCTAACAATGAACATCTCTTGTTTGGTAACTTTAGGTGTGTTAAGTATATCATTAAAAGTGTTTTGCTATATCTGTTTGATAAGTGCAAAACATACCTGTTGATCCTTCCGGAAATCTTGGCAGCTAATACATTTCTGTGCTGCACTCTTATCTGCAGCATTTTTCCCAGGTATCTCTGAGGATTACAGTACCCTTCTGCTCTATGTTATGGAGAAAAGGAGGGGGGTGTTTATTTGTCCTGTGCTAGTGTGACAACACTGCTCCTCCATTGATACAGTACAGTGGTCAGCATTGGAAAGAAACTAAACTAATGTAGCTACTCCATCTAAGGACTGGTAAGCTGCCACATATTTACATTTTTTAAGGACATGTTTACAGATTTTTAAGGACAGCTGTACTTTTTTTTTCTTTTCAAAACCCTCCCTATTTGTCCCCCACCCCTCCCTTGGAAAGTAGACAAAAAATTCAGATCCTGGATTCTGCGCTGTCCCCCTCTACATTGCTCAGCTTTCAGCAGTGCTACGCAGGGTTTACTTTCAGTTCCTGACATGTGCATAAAATGTTGATAGTCAACTGATAAAGGGTTACACACAGAGTCATCTATGGTAGATGTAGGCTATTAAAACTCCAGACTGCCTAATCAGAATTACAAATCTTTTGGCAGAAATGACAGTGCGCAGAGTTCAGCTTTAAAGAGACACCAAACTCAAGGAGTTAAATCATAAAAATGCATTTAAGCAAGCTTGGCATGGTGGCTACTTTACAACAATTGTTAACTAATTTGTATTGAGATTATAGTCCATCACAGGAGTGATCTTGGAGTGGTGGCTACTTTACCATACACTCAGGGACCATGGGGAACAAAAGTAGCCACCCTCCAGAAGGAAGAACAGTGTCAGCACCAATTCAGAGATGATTTGAGGATCTACAGAGTGATACACAAATAAGCAAAATTTGTGTTAATCGGGTACTTAAATGCATTTTTAAGATTTAACTCGTGAATTTAGTGTCACTTTAAAGTAGAATTAAACCTTAGTTTTTTGCACATATCTACTGCTAGAAAGCAGTAGATGTATGCAAAAACATAAAAAAAAAAAGTCACCATATAGTTAGTATCTAACTGTGTTTCTGCGCTCCCTCCCGTCCGAAGATCTGAAGATTCTCGGGCGGCAATGAAGGTTCATGAGGTGGATGCATGTGCAGTAGAGATCTTCAGCCGGGAGAAGAGGAGAGACACAGGGTAGATCAATGCAAGCAGCCTGGCAGAGTGCACATGCACGGCCCCCGTGGGACACAGGAGACACAGCAATCAGCGTTGGATCAGAGACCGGCACCAGCGCTGGAGGGATTGCTGAAAACTACTGGAAAGAAGAAGATGATCGGATCAAGAGGCATAATTTAAGGTAAGCCCTGAAAGCAGAGCAGAGTTGATATTTGTTTCCAAATATGCATCTATGTAGTGAGGTGGGTGGGGGTGCAGATTTTGCACAAACTTACCGCATTTTTCGCTCCATAAGACGCACTTTTTTCTACCCAAAAGGGGGGCAAAAATGTCTGTGCATCTTATGGAGCGAATCCCTATCGCCCGACGCCCGGGACATGCAGTTTCGGGTGCTGGGCGAGTATTTTTTTTGTACATTCAGCCCTGCTCCTGACAAGCAGAGCTAAATGTACAGTGTGGGGCCGCCACTCGTTTAATACAAGTGATCTAATCAAATCACTTGTATTAAATCGAGCGGCAGCGGTGATCGTGTCCGGGTCCCCCCGCCGTGGTTTTCGGGGTCCCCCTGCGGGGAACCCGTGACCATGGCATAGAAGCTCACCGTAGAGTAGACGAAGAACGTCCGTTCTTTGTCTGCTCTGTGTGATCACTGAGACAGGTGGCGCTGTAATCACAGCCACGTGTCTCAGCTGTCACTAACTGCAGCTGTTGTCGCAGAACACCTGCGTCCTATGGTCCGGTGCGCCTTATGGAGCGCAGAATACGATAAATATGTCTTATTCCAGAATACACAG